AACCTATGCGTTTCATTATTGACCTATTTCCTGACTCTAGCTGTGGCTCTCCTCCCCAAAGCTCTTCAGTTCCTACCCTAGACTTAAGTTTTTGTTTTCTTCCATTTTTCATAAGTGAAAAAGTCTCAGTAATATTCTAAAATGTCAGCGCACAATGATTTTTTTTAAACAAAAATTGTGCATTTGTCATGGACTGTTTCCAGCTTCACATGAATATGCATTTGGTGACGCGGCAGGATGACGTATGTAAGATCAAATAAAATAAACAGTAAGAAAACGCTGTCGACATCATCCTTTAAGCTCAAACACCAAACATTGACAATCAGAGACTGACTCACATGTTCACACAGTGTCACTGCACTTACTTGCTTATTATTCAAAACAGGCCCCCAGTCAATCCTGGGCATCAGCGACACGTCGTCAATCTGCTCGTAGATGTCTCTGTAGAAGGCGCAGTCCTTCAGCCAGCGCTCGTGAAGGAGGATGACGCTGGAGAGTAGAGGACACACAAAGAAACAGAGAGCTGTGGTTAACTTCAACATTAAAGAAATCAATAAATGAGGCGCTGAAATAACAAAATCAGAGGAATAAATGCAGGCAAAATGATATTACAAACTGAAACAGCCCCAAGAGGTGACCTCAAAGGAAATTCACTTGCTGTATTCTGCCACACATGTTTTGATATCTGCTCTTGAACCTTCAGAAAACCTTCACTGTGGAGGTACGTTCTGATTCCTCTGTGCTGCATTGATTTATTCATTCTGCATCAACTCACTCGCTCTCTATTTCTCTGCCTTGCGGGTGTTTGAGCTTCTTGGCTTTGTCGACATCCAAGAAGAGGTCTTTCAGCAGGCCCTCGGCATCACCCAGCTTATCTGAGACCTCATTCTGATGCTCAAAGGGCAGCTCTTTCTTCTCATTTTCAGCATCCTGGTGGAAGCAAGCAACAGATATTTTTTTTTTATCACAGGGGCTACCGGTGAAGGTGATGCTTCAGGCAAACTGAAGATAAAAGGATATCAGAGCATCAGCGTGTGTTTCAGTGTGTTTATTCTCACCACAGCGAGCAGCTGCTCGGCTCGGAGGATGTCTTTCTCCACCTGGTCGGCATTCTTTTGCATCTGAGCGATCAGCAAGGCCAAGTTGCTGGCTTGGGACCTGCAGGAGGAGGAGGTCAGAAAAAAGGTCACAGGTTGAATTACAAACACAGATCTGTTCAGGAATAATCCATGACTGGTTCACTCATATTTCATAATACACAGCTCCTCTTAATGACAGATGATTATCTTGATAAAATTCCTTGAGGTGAGAGCACAGGTGAAAGCGTGTGATCAGTGCCGTTTGTCTGCGGTTTGGCTGTTTGTGGGAAGATTATGCAAAAACTACCAGGCTGAAGTTCACGAAACTTGGTGGGAAAAAGGAACGTGGGAAAAGGGGAAACCTGGTGAGTTTTGCTGCAGAACTGGACTATTTTCAGGCCTCTTGAGTTTAAATATTGGTTTTATTAGCTTCCTGTTAGAATTAAGTATGTTTCGAGCTATTATGTATTCTGAATCTGTATTTTGCACTGAGCCTATGATTCTGTTTCATGTTTTCCTACTGAGAACAGCATATGTCCTTGAAGATAATATGGCCGGTGAGAACCGGTTCGCACACTTGGAGACAGCAGAAACTCCTCTTTTCTATTAGATACGATTGTTACTTTAGTTACACGCCGTACCAACAACATCCACACACGTTGCTTACCAAATGTCAAGGACGTGGACAGAGCACAGAAGGATGCCTGTCCACACCACTAGTAACTGGCCAATTAAATCTTATCTATGTTCGGGGCAGGCCCAGCCCAAGAAGATATCTATAACCTGGAACCGAAAACACTCAGTTCAGCTGGACATGAGATTCCTCTCTGTCCCTCTGAATTCCAGCGCTGCCTCACTTTACCTGTGACTGAAATAAATAAATTATACAACTGAGAACTGAAGATTTCTCCGGCTTGTTCTTGGGCTTCCAACTAAAGAATCGGGTCTAACATTCCTAAACTTGAATATACTTCTGGCAAGCAAGATTTTCTCAAAGGAAAAACTCTGAAATGCTTGAAGTTTGAATGAAACCAGATTTTGAAAAGCTAAATTTGATGCATTTATTTTTTTAAATGATTGAATGATTAAGATGAAACATGGCGGAGGGTCAGCGTGAGGATAGTGCCACCTGTGGAGCCACACCCGAGGCGTTCCTTAAATTCTAACCATTCTCCAGCGGCTGACTGTTCCCGTCCCTCCCTCTGTCGCTGTTTGTGCTGCTCTCTGTTGATGCCACCTTGGCTGAGATATGCAAAGCAGACAAAAGGAAGGAGCAGATCCTGCCGGCTGGCAACGAGAGATAAACTACACCCATAAAACTAGAAAAAAGGGGTCAACTTGTGGTTTTGGAGTCAAGACAATAAACAAATGAGCTCCGACTTTGTGGTAATGAAATCTTTTGGATCGTAATAAGTGAGGAGTGAGTGACTGATTAAGGTGAAGGCAAATAAGGTGAAAGTGTTTGCCAACAATAATGCCGCCGTGCAGACATGTTGAGACAAACTGGTGGGTATCACATAGCAGAGCTGTTTGTCTGTCTTTGATTTAGTTTTCTTCAGCAGGTGCAGAACAACGGCTCAAGTGAAGATGAATTTGTTTAAAAAATACTTTATGATTTCAAAAAGTGAACATCAAAGGTTCCATACAATTACGTGTGTGCATAAAAATAGAATTAAAAAAATGTTTTACCACACATTAATTAATTAATGTTACTTCTGTAGTACCAGGGCTGACAAATTACTGGACACTTACATTTGTGAAAACCTTAAACTCTGAGAAACATCCTCATATTATGCAGCATATACTTTTTTTTTTTTTACAATCATCTCCACATCAGTTGGGAAAGTAAAGTGAAATCACAGCTAAAGTGAGAACAAAACTCCACAAAGGCCCTTTTTACTGACACGTAATGGATCATCCCAAATGTGGGGGAGATATTTTACATGTTAAATCCCAGAGGTGGAGGTGAATGAATTGATGCACAACACATCCAGGTTACTTCCATTTGATGATGGTCATAAAACCAATAAAGTATTTGGTTTGAATGCAAAAATCTAAGCAGAAGTCGGGGCTTAAGTGCAGAAATGTAAGTTAGTTTTCAAAGGATAAAAAGGTTTATCTGAGAGTCTTCTTCTTTGATAGAAATCTTGTGTGTGCTTCACATGTGCTGGAAGATGTTTCAGGAAACCTGGATGTCTTAAAGCTCACAATCGAGGAGAAGAGTGAAAAGCAGTAACATGCCGCTCAATTTTTAATTATTTCACCACATCCAAGGCTGAAACAAGCTCCCTACATGTCCAAATGAAGCTATTCTTCACTGCTTTATGATGCTGAAACTTCTTCTCCAACACAGGAGAACAGAAGCACGTCGTGTCTTTACGGCCTTGGCTGAGGCACACGATGAATTATGAGCTCAAAAAGCTTTTAATGAAGAAGAACAAGGTAGGGACAGGGAGGAATAAGACGATTCTATTAATCAGAAATGAATAGCACACGCTATCGAGGATACACCCTGACACTCATGTTGAAATAATGCTCATGTGTAGCTGAAGAATGTTGGCAACGCATCCAACAGCTCGCCGGTTACCTTGACCTGCATACCAGCCGTGTAAGGTATTTACGAAGATACGACGAGAAAGCAAGCAAACGTCAACCGAGACTGATTAATGGCAGCCTCCACAGCTCGTTAGTGATGGAGCGACAGAGGAATGAGGAGGCGAGTTCCTCCTCCTGATCTGATCTGAGCTGGTTCTGCAGCCGCTCTCACAATGACCGCCCTGTTGCTGCTCACTCAGCAGGAAACGCAGGTATGAGCTGGACACATGAGTAATACTTCTGAACCATTCCATCACCTTAGCCAAGGAAATGATTGTAGTATTTACGTGCTTTGGAGGTTTCTTTATAAAATGTTGTTTTTAGGTGACTTTTGCTTTCTGGTAGAAGACAACCTATCAACTGATATGGCTTTCTAGCTTTTTACTTTTTATCTAATATATCTTGGTGCCAGATCATACAGTCTATGTGCCAGACACCGAAGCCTGAGTCTGATGGACTATGTGATAATGGAAATAAATAAAAGTCTGACATGTGGTGAGCCAACAACTCTGAAAACTTTACAAATAAATTTTAAAAAGCATCAAAATGTTACATCTTTTCCTTGAATCTTTTCAGGAGTTTTCCTGAGAAGTGATGGAAGCCTAATTTTGACTTTTATTTTACTACTTTTTTTACAAGAACCACTGAGAAACAGAGGAGAAAGGAGCAAAGGTTTCTCTGTCTTCTTCATCTGAGCTGTCAAGAGCACATTTTTCACTCATTATTGGTTTACAAGGAGCTGAATGACAGGCCACACCCATGCTTAGCCTCGGACACATACTTAGAATCTGCTGTTTATAAAGCTGTAGTGCAAGTTTTGTTTAACGTGGGGCTGCTGAGTGAGTGTTATTTGACAGGTGATTGGATTTTATGGTGACTTGAGCTCCTCGTACAGGAAGTGTACAGTAGAAACCCTTAAATAAGCTGCTGCCAAGGTGGTTAATTGTTGATTTTTTTTCACTGTATTTTGCTTTAAATGAGCTAAATTCAATCTTTCACTTTAAAATATGAGCAAAAACATAACAGATTTTTAGAAAGTGCTCAGCAAATGTTAGTTTTTTTTTTTCATTCATGAATGCCAGAGAGGCTAAATCGCTTCCTGCAGCTATGGCTAATTTGACTTGAAAGCAGGATAACTGGATAACCCACATAATTCAGAAGGGCTTGCCTGCATTTTTTTAGTTAGTTAGTTGCAAGATCACAACAGCTTGTAGCACAAACACTCCTTGATTTGGTGAAACCTGCCAGTTTTCCTCCCACCTCAGTTCATATGGTGAAATTGAAAGAAAAGGGGGAAAAAAAAAATTCAAGTTGAAAGCAGCTGCAAAGTCATTTTTCTTCATGTGGAAATGAAAAAAGGTGCGTGTTTTACAAAATGACTGCCAGATCAAATAAGCTGAGCGCTGTGTGATCACCGATAATGATCTAAATGACAAAAAAAAGATGGTCGTCTGAGATTATTACATCACAAACCTACACACAGTCATATTTCCATCATATCTGAGGGCATTTATTTGACTTAGTCCTGATCTTAACTACTGTTTCTCAATCTTTATGACAATTTTGAAAGAAACAGTCGTACGAATGTGTAATTAAGGCTTTTTTTTTGTCCTGAAACAGAAGTTGAGTTGACAAAATAGTTCAATATTAAGTGATTTATGTTCCCAAACATGAGTCATACACAGAAACACACCACTAGGATCTGCTACTTATCTGTCCACCTGTTCATTTTTTTCACCTAAAAAGTGACTCTAGTTGTGGTTTCACTCAGAGATTAAAACAACTGATTAATCACGTTGGTGAATTTAATCACTGATTGATTATTAAAGCAATTTACTAAGAAAAAACAACAACATTTGCTTCACTTTGGGACCTTTCTACCGCCATGGCATCGGGATAAACAATTATCTGGAAACAACGGCCCGTCCTGCGTCACGCCATCATGTACGGTTATGAACCAACGCCCACATGAGAGAAAGAAACCAGCTGAGCAGTTCACAGGGCAGAGACAAGGTGAAACCGCAGGCTGGTCACTACCCAACAGTGGAATCAGTATTGTGACATCCGACGGGAACAAAAAGGCGAAACTATTTGTCAGTTTGTCGGCTTCCTCTGTCAGCTGAGAAGCTGTCACCTATTGTTTGATTGAAAGTGGATCTATAGACATCCTGTCAGTGAAATCACTTCAAGTCAAATCAGGACAAACTGCCCTCAAATGCAGCAACACGACTAACTCCTGTTTTCAGATGTCTTGTGTAGCTGAGTCGACACAATGGATGACGATTTTGCTCCTCTTTTTGTTTCCCTTTCTTTCAGTTTAACACATGAAAATAACACATTATCCATCAAATTCAGATTATTTTTACACTTTGGTGCCAAATTTAAGGAATAATTTGCAACCTGTCCCTCTGAGAGTCACATATTCCACCATGTTAAACTGAGAAAACCTGACAGGACACATTAAACTTGAGAGAAAAGCAGATTATTTCAAACAAAAATCCAGAACTATAATCATCAACATGAATGTTTTGCCAGCTGTCAGATGTCTAAATCTAGTTTTAGCTCTGGGAAAATTTCAAACTTAAGAAGCACATGTTAAACAGCTGATTATTTTTGACTTTCTTTTATTTTGACCTCCAGTCGTAAACATATTTCTGCTTGTTCCACCTGTTGCATTGAAGGGCATCGTCCCACCTCGTGTTTACAAGGTAAACCTGACCTCGGGCCCTGTCAGCGGCTCCCACGGGATTAACTCTGACATATCTGAGCTCTTGCATTGAGTGAAGATGTCGCCTCAGCAAACACAATTTAAAATCAGCTGCAATGTAACATGAGGGGAACCAAAGCAACACTCAGAGAAAAAGGAGGCCAGGAAACATGACACAGTTCTGGGCTCTGGAAGAACAGGAGGAGGAGGAGGAGGAACATGACCGAGATACAGTGTCTCAGCACACACTCATTCAGGGGAGAGAAAAAATAGAAACAAAAAAACTTACTTGCTGATCTTGCCCGAGACCTTGAGCGTGCCATCTTTGTTCTCCTTCTTCTTAAACATCTTGGAGGAGGTCAAGCAGAGATCCCCTGCAAAAACAAAACTCTCAACCTCTCTCGCTTACTCCTTCTTCGTCTGTGGCTCCCACTTTGTGTCTCCTCTCACTTTGGTTTCCTCTCACACACACTGAGACACACACACACTCATGTCACTGTGGAGTTTAACAGCAGCAGCTCCTCCCACACAGGTTAACAGGTGTGTCGACGCCCAGACATCCACCTTGTAGAGGAGGACCGGACCGACCTGTTCCCCGCACTCTCCCTTCCTCCCACCCTCGGCCCGGCCCTTCCTTTTCATCCGGTCTCGCTCAGGAGGCATCGGGAGCCCTGACACTGCCAGGGAGGTATGACTCATTGGGGTTGGAAGGACACAAACAAAAACAAAACATGTTTTATTGGTGTTAATACGCAAACGAATAGAGGTGGAAAAATTGATTTCAAAGAGATGAATGAGTCCAAATCTGGCAAGTACGTGGTTTAAATGTTCCCTGGTCGTGTGGGGGATGATTTGTGGGATACTGTTGCCCATCTCTCCTCTTGTTTCTGTCATCAATATCTAAAAAAAAGGCATCACTATGAATCACAGACTCAAAATCTATTATAATCCTGGCTGATTATTCCCAAATAATAATCACAAATGTAAGAGATGGCATCCTCCCCCTCGTTTGCACAGTACACTAATATGTAATAATAGCAATAAATAGTAAACTTCATTTATATATATTTAGCGCCTTTTAAAACTGGAGTTACGAAATATTTATTTTAACAAAAGACATTAAAAGACGGCAATAACATACGAGCAAGACATCCAGCTTTAGGCAAATGTCTGTCTGTGCAGGTGGGGTTTTGATGGAGCTTTTCCGATGATTTGAGGTGCAAAATAAGGGACCAAAAGTTCCAAGATCATGCAAAGATTTCAAAGAACATGGACTGGAGTTAAACACGCCCTCTGCTGAGTATTTGTCAGTTTCTCATCAGCTATAAACAGGCAAGTACAGGCAGCTTCCAGATTTCTGGCTAAGTGGGTGATACTGCTGGAAACATAGTTGGGGGAAATACCCAGAACTTCAGTGTTTTTTGTTGGAATTTGTAGCAAATCAAAAGCCATCCAGTTCTTTATCGCAGCCACGTGATATTGCAGAGAGCCCAGATTGTCATGGTTTACAGGGCTAAATGAAACATACAACTGGGAGTGTTTGGTGTAGCAACGGTAGGACACAAGGGCAACAGTTATAAACTGAGTACAATGGGGCCGAGGACTGAGCCCTGTGGGACTCCACATGACTCCACGGTTGAGGTAACATTGAAAACACTGTTTGATAAGCAGTGTCATCAAATGATAAGCTGTTTCGAAAAGTGTCTTTTGTTACTCTGCATTAAGCTGTTTCTGTACTATGATTCTTTCTGAAATTTGACAAATGTTTTTTCCTCCCATTGTTTCTAAAAGAGCTGCTCATTAGCCACTTTTGAAACTGTGAAGCCTAGATTTAGGACGGTAATTTTGAGGAAGAGTTGCATCTAAATCAGGTTTCTTGAGGAGTGGCTGGATAAAAGACAGTTTAAAATAGTTCAGGACCAAACCAGAAAAAAGTGACTCATTCACATTGTGCTAAGGAGGCACAAGGTGATGACTCCCAAAACCTCTTTGAACAATTTGGGAGGCAGAAGTGTCACACATTTCTACATTTGAAGCTGCAAAACCTGACAGGACACCTAAAGCTTAGAGGAACACCAGCTGTCTGACAATTATTTTATACAAATATCCAGAAATATTTTAGAAATATCATCACCAACATGAATATTTTGTCAGCTGTCAAAGGTTTATATCTGGAAATATTTTGTATTTACTTTTTTTCACTTTGATGGCTATCTATAATCTCATTTTCAGTGCTGGATCAGACCACAATAAAAAAAATTCACAAGGCAAAGGAGGCACAAGGTCTCTTTAAACAACTTGGGAGGCAGAATATCAGATTTACAAGCAGTAAAACCAACCATGCTATGTTTTCTTTCCTTCTTTTGTCCTTATTTCTATGTTTCATTCTCTGATTTCTTCTTGTTTTTACCATTTAAAGTTTAAATCCGCCCTCATTCCGTCACCTCTCTGTATGAACCCTCAGTCCAGACAAACTCTGAGCTACAAACATCAACACACACACTGTGTACAGTCAACAACGGAACAACCGGAGAGGAAGAGTGTTGCATAAGGCCTTCACATGTGCACATGTCATGACGCTGGTGACTGAACACGGCTCCATACGTTGCAGAATCCGCGTGTGCAGCATCTACAGACGTACGAGTCACGCTGAGAATCAGGGCGTCTCTGTGCAGCACATCAACAATAGGGAACCATGGCGAGGAATGCGGCGGGGCAGCTTTCTTTGCAGCGGAGCGGCGAGAGCACACATTTTTGATTGGTCCGGTCATACTGTGTTTCTCTCTCTGGGTGCGTCCACCTGTCTGGAAAAACAGATACTCTTTCCGTTGCTCAGATACAGTGTAGATTGTGATTGCTGTTATTTTAACCTTATTTTTTTAATATCAATTGATCAAATCCGTTGGAAATGTTGCACAGAACAAACTTCCTTTTTTATGACTACGTTTGATATATGAAAAATGGAAATTTGAATGTGGAAACTGCAGTAATCTGGCTGGGAGGAAGTACTTTTAGATGCCTCTGACTGTCAAACTGAGAACAGTACTGAATCCTAGCCTGTTCTAGAAAAGACTGTTTGAGAAATGTTGATTCATCCATCCATCCATTATCTATACACCGCTTAATCCTCACTAGGGTCGTGGGGGCTGGAGTCTATCCCAGCTGATTCAGGGTGAAGGCAGGTTCACCTGGACAGGTCACCAGTCTATCACAGGGCTACACTTAGAGACAGACAACCAAGCACACTCACATTCACACCTACGGACAATTTAGAATCACCAATTAACCTCAACATGATTTTGGACTGTGTGAGGAAGATGGAGAACCTGGAGAGAACCCACACTGCACGGGGAGAACAGAACATGCAAACGCAGAAAGATCCCGGGTGTCCTCACTGGGATGCGAACCAGCGACCTTCTTGCTGTGAGGCAACGGTGCTAACCAACTGCACCACCTTGCAGCTCCCAGTGGAAACAGCAGGGTGAGGCCAGGCAGGTTAGGTGGGTAGGTGGGTAGGTACGGGAGGCCTCACGGGCCCCCAGAACCACCACCACTACTACCACCCACCGGTCACCCCGGCCATCCGACACTCCCTCAAACGAGCGGGGCTGCGTGGCACCTGGACGGGTCCGGATGTGAAGCATATTTGAAATATGAAAAACGGAAATTTGAATGTGGAAACTGTAGTAATCTGGCTGTGAAGAGTTACTTTAAGATGCCCCTGACTGTCAAACTGAGAACAGTACTGAATCCAAGCCTGTTACAGAAAAGACTGTTTGAGAGATGTTGGGTCATGTTAGTGGTAAAATGAGTTAAAACTGGGACCTGAAAATGGACAAATTTAAAGATGATTCATTCTAAAGGGGGCATGAAAGTCACAAGGAATGATCTGGACCAAAGGTGCACGTGTGAATGTGAAGCTGCTCTCTACAAGACGTCAAAGGTCACATATGTCACCGGATCTCATACCTGCTGCGCTTCAAACGGCATCAGACACATCCTCGGGCTCATTTTAATCATTTCGTTGGGCAACATAAACGTGGCAGCTATGTATTTGCATAGCTCGACATTCCTAACAGTTGAATTGATAGGAAACAACAAAGGCAGAAAGACGAGGCTGAGGGTGTGTCGGCCTCTTTCACTGAACTGCACGGTCGTCTGGATGTTTCACAAAGCTTTGGTGCTTATACTCAACTTTGGACTTATTCCCCTGAGCATTAGACTGCACAATCTGCATGACAAAGGTGTTTAACAAAAGCAGAGATTTACCTCAGAACAGCAAAGTAAAGCCACATTAACAACCTGCACAGACACGGAGCAGACCGTCGGTGATTCTGGGTCTTATCTCACATGTCTTCATCCAGGCAGAGCACATTTCTGTGTTTTCTGGAGTGACAAAGGAATTTGTTGCAGGCCAGTGGTGACAGGCAGCAGATAAGACATCAGGTACGGATGTCATTTAAGCAGGGAAGAGACGGTGGATGTGTTTAATTAAATACTGCTGATGTTGAAACTCAGAGGAGGAAAAATGCCTGGCAGGTCGATGGCAACAAACACACCTATGCAATTATTCACACTTGCAAAAATTCATGTACAAAAAGTAAACCTAAACACATTCACACACCCCACACAGGCATCCCACACACTCCCACTCACACACCCACACCCTGACAGAGGCAGTCAGCAGAGACACACACATCCTGCACAACTCTCTACACAGACACAGGACATTTTTGGAATATTTCTACAATGTAAAAATGTTTGATTTTTTTTGGGTAACTTTTTGATTTTATTATAATTTCTTTTTTCTGTTAATTTAATGTTATTTTACAGATTTCCCCTGTTTAGCTAAATTACAGATAATATGTAGTGAAGTACTAATTTACCTGGTGACTTTAAAAAACCTCAAAAGAAACCAAACAAAAAAAAATACAGAGAAAAACTGTACATATTGTCACCATGAAAAATCTGGATTTTTACAGATAGTAATTGTCTTTTACTGATCCAAATCATATTACACTTTTAAAAAAATTTTCATATTCAAGATATTATTTTACAGATATTTGTTGTCATTTGAAAGACAATGTAAGTATTTTTAATTATTTTTTTTATTTGTTATTTTACAGATTTTTACCATCCATTATCTATACACAACTTAATCCTCACTAGGGTCGCAGGGGGCTGGAGTCTATCCCCTCAACATGTTTTTGGACTGTGGGAGGAAGCCGGAGAACCCGGAGAGAACCCACGCTGCACGGGGAGAACATGCAGAACATGCAAACTCCACGCAGAAAGATCCCAGGTGTCCTCACCAGGATGCGAACCGGCGATCTTCCTGCTGTGAGGCAACAGTGCTAACCACTGAGTCTCGGTGAGGACACCCGGGATCTTTCTGCGTGGAGTTTGCATGTTCTCCCTGTGCAGCGTGGGTTCGCTCCGGGTTCTCCGGCGTCCTCCCACAGTCCAAAAACATGTTGAGGTTAAATGGTGATTCTAAATTGTCCGTAGGTGTGAATGTGAGTGTGCTTGGTTGTCTGTCTCTAAGTGTAGCCCTGTGATAGACTGGTGACCTGTCCAGAGTGTCCCCTGCCTTCACCCTGAGTCAGCTGGGATAGGCTCCAGCCCCCCATGACCCTAGTGAGGATTAAGCGGTAATTTATAGTAAAACCACTGAAAGAATGTGTACATGTACATGTTGACTGCCAAAACTGCAAATAATGTCCACGTGAAAAATCTGTTTTTAAACATATTAATTTGCTCTTTTACAACATGCAGCCGTAACATTACACTATTTTTTTTTTTACTGTATTTAAATCAGCAAAAAAAAAAAATGTCCTCCACCGATCAGAACTATAATGTCCACATGAGAAATCTGTATTTTTTATTTATAAGGAATTTGTCCTTTTACACCCATGTATTTAAATCAGCTAAAAATAACACCATTGTACAGATATTGGTAGCTATTCTAATCATTTTAACATTTTTGAACATTTCACTATTCTGCTGGTATTTAATGAATGTTTTTTGGCACCTTTGCAGCCAGTTTGTTTTACTGTTTAACTGAATTTCTTTTTACCACGTGAGAAAAACCTTTCCATCGAAAATAAGACAAGAAAGCAAGTGTTTGGTGCAAATATCTTTTTTTTTTTTTTTTTTTAATTATATGCCTGGAAACTAAATGAAATCACACACTCTCATCATTTATGCATGTTTCCAGCAACTACTGATCATGACTAATTGTTTTCCAGGCTAACAGAGGTAAAATGCTGGAGCTGTTCCAGCATATCCATCATAATTCATTAACAGAAAACACTGAGCTGGAGGAAAAGAAAAGAAAAGAAAAACAAACAAAAAAAGGAAATCCAAGACAGAGATAAAAACAAAGCAAGACAGTTAAATGTGCGAGTGGGTGAGCGACAAACCAACGGTCCTCTAGTCTCACCAGGTGTCACAGGAAAACCAGGTGCCTTAAGGATCAGAGGAAACTCAGCTTTGGTGTGGAAAGAAGACGCGAGTCGGCGTTACAGCAGGCAAAACAATGGATGAAAGATTTTTCTAGTGTTATCCACAGACGTGTAATTTGTGATGAAAGCACTTTTAGTCCTACCCAAGACAAACAAAACAGGCGTGGTGGTGTGACGAATGAAAAGCTGCTAAAAAAAAACCTCCTTCCATGTCTTAACTTCTACGGCTGTCTTTAACAAATAAAAATACATCTGTGTAAAAACGTTACAGGAATTAATTACAGTTTGACGAGCTGCACTTTCCCCAGCAGGAAATCCTTCAAAATAAGAGTTCAAATGAGGCTTCCGTGTGTGTGTGTGTCGAAGCAGTTGGACCCTTTTCTCGGTAAGTTTACTGCCAAATGTCACAAAGTACAACAAACGTTTGAAAGTTTCTTAGGAAGCTAAAACAGTCCTGCAAAGAGTCCTACGTTAATGACAATTTCTGACGGGTGTTTCTATCGTTTTCTACATCAAACTTATCTAACTAACACCTCTCTATATATCCTCCCGAACGCCTACAGGGTCAAATCAAGAGCTCTCTAAAAACAATAAAAACATTATAAATAATAGACTATCATCTCCATGGTGAAGGGAGGGTTTACTGGAGGATTGCTGCGTTCGACTGCTTCAGTTCTAGCTTAGGTTTGCCTCATAAAAGAGTGTAAGTGACAACAGGCAAATGAAAGACACTGGACTTCTCTGCTTTTAAAGAAGAAAAACATTTCAAACTGTGATTCTCGGCTTTGTCAGTCACTATTCTGGTGTCTGTTCTTTAATTCAGAGCTCGGCTTTCTAAAAGTCAAACGGCTGATATGTGCACATCTAAAGCCGGGAGCAAAACTGATAAGAAACCGCAAACAAAGCAGTCAAAGTATTGTCGTGTTTCCAAACAGCATCATGTCCAGTTTAACGCTGCATCACTGCTGAGCCTTGTTTTTTTACCTTGAGCCGTCTACGAGGCATTACTTTAAAGAAACCAAGTGTAAAGTTTGGATAAAAAATACGTCTGTTGGAGTTTGTCAAACTACAGGTGGCAGGATTATTTCCAGCATTTCATGTCGGTGCTGAGAGAAGACTGCACTCTTCTAGGTTTAAGAAACAAACTGTCTCTCACATAAGGAAAAAGAGATGACAGAACTACATGAAGGCGCTTCCACAACAGTGTAGAAAAGAGAAGAGAGAGAAAAAAGCCTCAATGGCTAGATTTTGAGAATTGACAACTTGGCTTCAACTTGTAATTTCATGGCATGTGATGACTGTAAATCTTGAAGACTTCCCTGATGCTCAGATTAAGGAGGGAGCCTGCATGCGAGAAGCCTCTGCAGCCTGATGGTATTAATCAAAGGTGGCAGGTGGACTCGAGTCATATTGCTACTTGAAACCGATTTAAATACTTGCTCTTTAATCTCACCTTAAACATTAGATTCACTCTTCCTTTCTTCAGGTCTACAACTCCACCCATTTCGCACTTAGGCACCAAAAATCAAAGATTAAAACAAATTGAAGTGACTCTAATTAACAACTGAACCAAGTCTGGTTTGTTGTGATAAACTCGGGAGCCGTGCAGCTCTCATGTGGAGGCCAGAGCCTGGGGTTTGGTTTAGCTGCCAAAGCCAAAGATGCCCTTGATGTAGCCGGTCAGGCCGCCCTTGCCCTTCTGCTCCACCTTGTCATCCAGCGGTGGGAAGGCCACGTGGTTGAGAGCAAGGTCGAAGAACAGAGGCTTGCAGGGGATCGGCTGGAAGTCGGGGGGGAACTGGACCAGGTTGGGGTGCTTTCCTACGAGAGTGGGGTCCAGGTTGAAGTTCTCCAGGCGATCGCAGAGGGGCTGCACGAAGGAGGAGTGAGAATGTGAGCGTGTTTATATCAAGGACAACTGAAAGCTAGAGCGAATCAGGCAAGTGACCTTGTTTGTAGGAGAAAAAGTGAAAGACCAAAGATTAACTTACAAAAAACGTGCTCTAGTTGTGACATTGTAAAAGCATTAACACACAGAGTTAGCATCACGCTCAGATGTGGTAATGAGAGCTTGTTTATCAGCCTGTTAAATCAAGTCCAGATCTCACAACTGAGAACACTACCACCACTTTCACATCTGTGGGTTCTATCATAAGGAGCTGTAGCCAGGAGGCAATTAGTGAGTAAGAGTGGTTTCAGTGGGAGTTAAGTGCCACAGTATTAGGCCTCGTCCAGACGTAGCAGGGTATCTCACAAAACAAAAATATTTTTCTACGATTTTGTCTGTCATCCACACAAAAACACAGATTTCCTACATTAAAAACGATTCTTTCAAAAACCTCCGACCAAAGTGAAGATTTGTGAATCCTCCATTTATGCGTCTGCATGTGGACGTCAATAACCGGGTTTTAGGTTTCAAAACGTCACTGCCTGCGACAAAATATGTTCTTTACATCTCATACGCGACCTGTGTTTACATTTGGAAACAGTGTGGAGAGCTGTGTTGGCGGCGTCGCCTGTCCAGGCCCAGATACCGCTCCACAAACAAGAACACAGGCGAAGGACGACGTTAAGGACGGTTATTTTCCGCCACCTTGCCATTCCACGTCCGAGGCATGTTCACCGTCAGAGACACCAACGCTGGTTTTGGGTCATACCGGGACACACTGCCAGCTGGTGGGAGAACTTTGAGATGGAAATCGTACTTCCAGAGGAATGGCGTGACAATTTTTGTATGCTCCTGTTGTCTGAGTTATTACATCCTTACATAGAATATGAATGTGCTTAAAAATTCACTAATGCAGTTAGGTGTGGATGAATTGTTTTCTAAAAACGACGTGGTGTGTATGTTAGTTTTTTTTCTAGACGGAGGGGGGAGGATATTCGGTTTTACAAAAACCCTGCTGTGTGTGGACAAGGCTTTAATCTCACTGGCGCCGAGTGTCTCATGGTTTCGTTGTCTTACCGTGTTGTCCTTGACCTGCTGCTGAGAAGGAACTTCAGCAGTTTCATCAGTGTCTGAAACACAAACATATTTTCTTAGAATTGCACACTACACCAAGAAGAACAGAAAAGAATGAGGCTTAATGGTAAAAAAAAAAAATACACAATTCAAAAGGTGCTCTCACCTAAAATGGCAGCAGCTTGAAGCGAGTACTTCTCAGCGTTGACCTCAGCGATGAGCTCCTGAACATCAGGGAGATCCTGCAGAAATTCACCATCAGCATTAACACGCATTGTCACGACTTCTTAAACTGGGAGGTAACAGTGCTACTGTGGGTTTATGGGTTAAGACCAACCTTGAGGCTGTTGTTGAAGCTCTTGGCCTTCGACTGGACCTCCTTAGCGTATTTCAGCACCCTCTCATACAGCACCAGCGCCTCACTCCACTTCTTCACCAGCACATAAGACTGTGCTATAAAGAAGCACCTGCGATGGGGAGAGGGAAGGACCACATGGACAACGTGAGTGTGCAAGAATGTAGTAAAAGTGTCTGTATCACACAAACTCAGCAGCTTTATTAAGAGAAATTTGGCATGAAACAAAAAATGGCCAAAATCATCCATCATTAGAGGCTGACATGTAAAAATGAAAAAAATAAAAAATAAAATAATAATCAGATTTTTCACTTTCCGACAGCGAATAAACTACTCATCTGTGACACCGATAAATTCCAACTGTGTCTCATTAAAATCCCTTTATTCCACATGCCCCATTTAAAGTGTTTAAAAATTTTAAATAAATAATTTGCTCTGACTAGATTCTGTAAAAACATACAATTCTGCACTCCCTGTCACAACTGCGGATCCATTAGTGACTCAGCTGTGGCCGACAGTCACATGACAAAAAATCAGGGACTTTTCAGTTGATCTGCAGGCGGTGTTTACACCGAGCAGATAGGCAGCAAGCATCCATCCATCCATTCATTATCTATACACTGCTCAATCCTCACTAGGGTCGTGGGGGGCTGGAGTCTATCCCAGCTGACTCAGGGTGAAGACAGGGGACACCCTGGACAGGTCAGCAGTCTATCACAGGGCTACACTTAGAGACAGACAACCAAGCACACTCACATTCACACCTACGGACAATTTAGAATCACCAATTAACCTCAACATGTTTTTGGACTGTGTGGAAGGAAGCTGGAGAACCCGGAGAGAACCCATGCTGCACGGGGAGAAAGATCCCAGATGTCCTCACCGGTACGCGAACCAGCGAACTTCTTGCTGCGATGCAATGGTGCTAACCACCGAGCCACCAAATTAAAAATGGAAACAGTAAAATACATATACCGTGAAAAGTCACATTTTTCTTGGTAACATCCAGAGACACTTTAAATTCCAGGTTTTGTGACTTTTTGTAAAAAGAATAATTGAAGAAATTAAACTTTTGCTTTTTCTTTGTTTTAAGATGGCATAACTGCGTCGTACAGCACAAAAGAGATTTTTAAGGTTCGTTATGTCAAGCTGTGGTTGTGCCGTTTCCACAGAGGTACAGGACTTTGTATTGTAGTTAAAAATTTGCCAACAGTGAATGAAATTTTGACAGGAGAAAAGATCAACCAACAACGGCTTTGGGTTTGGACGGTTAATGTTTACTGATGCTGAGATGGAAACGCATCATAGAAGCATGAATGTATGACACACTTGGCAGCATTAGACACCAGTTGAATGCTGGATGTTTTTTTTTTTTGATGAGAAAACGCAGCCAACACTGTAGTCTGACCTGTAGGCCTTGTAGACCAGCGTCTTGAGGGACACCTCCTTCTGGAAGGTGTGGTCGTCCTCCAGACCCTGCAGGGTGGAGAGCTCCGCCAGGCTCTGCAGAGGGAGGAGGGTGGAGGAGGTGGTGGGGAAGAGAGGAATCAACATGAGGAGAAAAGTGAAGGTGAGAAGTAGAAGATCAGACAGGTTGAAAAGCACTTTGTTTCACTGCTGACGACAGATCAAACATAAGGTCATACACATAACTGTTGATTAACTAAGCTACAAAGCTAAATAAATACACACATGATGGTGAAGACATAAGGCAGAAACACCCTACATACAGACAGAACTTCATATATGCTGCAATTTTGTGTAGCTCCGTACCTGCAGGATGATGTCGTAGAGGCGGATGAGGTCCTGGGGACGGGGGCCCCTCTTGGTCTCGTCGGCCTCAGGCTCCTTCAGCTTGGCTTGCAGAGTGTGAGCCATGCTCTCGTTCCTCTTCACCAACGTACACAGCTTGATGTAGGTCAGGTAACTGAGGAGAGCAGCAGTACATTTATCATCTGCTTATTAATGAAAGGAACGTCTGTCAGAGATGTCAGATGATGTTCAGTTGGATATGAAAATGATTTTGACAGATTTTGATCCTGTAGATGCAATAGTCTGGGATGAAACGACAGCGCATGTTTTTCACTGCGCAGAGATGAGTCTTGTAAATTCTAAGACTTACACACTCTCCACAAGTTGTCTTGTGTCTGGACCAGACTACACATTCAGCCCAATAAAGCCCCAAACCGATAAATGGGTTTGAGGATCAACAGATGATCATTTCAGTGATGTTTTCTGACTTATGCTTCTCAAAAGTGATGATTTGCTGGTTTCCTTGGTCTTGGTAAAGTGAAAATCTTAATGAATTAGAATGCTAATAAGATCAAACAAGGAATCTGAGGAGATGGGCAAATTATAACGTTCACTAATCGACTCATATTTTACACTCTAACAACTGAGAAAATACCTGGAAGATAAATCACCATATTATAATAGTGATATAAAAATAACTATTGGCTGCATCCCTGGACTATGATTTCTGAATGTAACACCTCAAAAGACATTTACAAGCACAAACACACATCTTGACCTGTGTTTATACATCCAGTATTTCATTAAACTGCTGTTACCTGTGCAGGAACTGCAGGTTGGACACTTTCCCGCTGTCACCATCAGTGCTCCTCTCTCGCTGCTTCTACAAAGACAAGCAATATTTTTTAATGACTTCATTTCCATTCCTGTTCGAATGTCACCAGTCCTGCAATCTGTGAATACAACTGACTCACTTGTTCGTGGACATCTGGGTCATTACAAATTCTCACAACATCTCCTTCACCTGAACATGTCAGTGTTTATTTCTTATACCTAAATGTCTGCTGTATAACCAGGTGCATCTTACCGCCTCACTCTTGAGCTCCTCTCTCACAGCTTGGATGGTGTCTCTGCACTCGGCCAGCAGGGTCTCATACAGATGCTCTTTGGTCTCCTCATTAGATGCCTGCACAACATAGACACTGATTAAGATCAACAGCAAATATCTGTGACTGTAGAATAAAAATCTGTCTACAGCCAGTCCTCTTTGTTTAGGTAACATGGCACCAACTAGTGTGTCTGCGCAGAAGGAGTATCAGCAGTGTTTTTACACCAAAGCAGTCAAATCAATTCAGCCGTTCGATACAGAACGTGTAAAACTAATTTGCACATATTTTAAGTCTTTAAGGCCACATGCATACAGTCACTTCTTAAAAATATATTCTTTTCTATGCATTTTTGGTATTTTGCAAACGAAATTTTTGGAAAACTCCTTCCAGGGTGATGATACTGACATTGAGACAGTAATGGATGCAGTCATGACTCAATAATCCAACACTAAATGTAAAACCTTCTTTTATGTCGGATAGCAAGGCTGTTGGATTGTCAAGACGGAGGTCGAGATACAAGGAGGGCTTGATGTTGGAAGGTTCATTTGTTGTTAATATTTATTGTTCATAGTTGTTATAATAACTAGTAGGGCTGGTCCGAATAGTACTTTCTGTTCTCTGGATATTCAGGCCCAATTAATGATGAATATCTGAATATTCGGCGTGGTCGGGTGGGACACTTCCACCCCGGGGGAGCGCTCCAACAGGGTGGAAGTGGTTGGAACACACAAGCAGAACTTGGCTGCTGATGCTAGTTTAGGATAGAGGTCACAGTTCTGTTTCTATCACCGTTACCATCCGTGTTTACTTCCCTAAACACTGAGCACGCTCACTGCGTGTGACATCATCGTGTCCTCTTCTGTGCATGCGGGACACTTTTAGGTCGTATGAAGTTCACACAGCAGATCACATACAAGTCGCATTTAATTGGAAATGTGAACAAACTCGCAAAAAAAATGGATTTCACAAAAAAATCCGAATCGAGCATCAAGTCCTGCAGTCTGAACGTAGCCAATCTGTTGGATTGGTCAGATAATACGCTGTTATCCTTATTTGTGACATAAAGCCTGCTTGAACCAGTGACAGATTTTCTTCATGCTTTTAATTGAGGGTTATAGCACGTTTTCATTTGGATGCAGATTTATTTTTATTTTTAAACAAAAGTGTATTTCTTTGGTCTTCCATGTGCAGCTACAAAGCCGTACATTCAATACTTTGCTTGAATGCATCCTGTGTAAATACGAGCAGAAGGATGAAGCTGCTGCTGTTGCCCTGTTAGCGTGCTACTTTCACTATGCTGGCTGGAAATGCAGACGTTTAACACCATCTTTTCTCAGCTTGTAAAAGTGTAATTAGGATGTAATAAGTTTCTCAAATTAGGTCATGAAAATGCATCAGTTCTACTTCCTGTACTGCAGACGTATCTCCATCAGCTAATTAAAGCAAATAAACTAAGCAGAACAGAAAAAAACATGAATCGTAACTGGCTGATTCTCGATCCACTTTGAAAGGTTTGTACCAGCCGTGACGCAAATCCATCACATCAGAGTGGTGAATCTTTAATAGGTGCAAGGTCTATTATTAATAAGAAGTGATCATGCAACTGCAAACACTTGATGCATTTACAACTTTTAGTACTTAGAAGGAGCAACTGTTAAAGCAGGAATGTGACTGTGGCAAACCGGGGGAGAGACGCAGGTATGTGGTCCGGCAGGCTGCTGAGACATTCCTGAACATAACTCATCAGCAATTAGATACCGGAGTTTCAGGGTTCAGATCGTTGTGAATGACAGGATTGTTCTTCACCTCACCTTTGTTTCGTCGACACACTAACACAATAGGCCTGTGTTGCTCTGCGATATTCTCAGGAATCTGCTACTGGTATTATGTTCCCATTGGAAAGACGACTATATGAGATTACTGTAAATGAGCGAATGTAAGCAACTGAAGACAGAAAAATGCTGAGTCACTATATGATTTGAAACTTAAACTTTCAAGGTTTTTTGTGTTACATTGCTGCCCCACTTTTACATTTAAAAAGGGCGCAAAACTCTTAGAAAGCATCACAATGGAAGAATGGAAAAAAATTCCTCGTAGCATTAATGGACGATAGATGGTTCATAGGGACGCTCTTGTCCACCCCGATGAATGATGTTACTAAATGCTACACGCTTGTGCCAACACCCTGGACGGGCCTGATATGACCAGCTCAACCTGTTGAGTACCTCTGTTGTTCTGGGTGGATAAACGCAGAGGACGGACTGATGTTTCGCCAAACAGTATTTCCTGACCCCAAGGGGCCAAGAACCGAAGATGAGATGCATCACACACAGAACTAAAGGTGCCTGTGTGACATACTTTGAGTCTCCCTTGTGTAATCCAGGAAATCATCATTTTTTGTGTACAATACCGAGAAAAAAAGACCCCTGTGATAGTTACAGGTAGTTTCAAAGTGCTTGCCACACGTTCAGTTACAGCCACTATCAGCCGAACAATGATCTGTACCTACTGCTGGATCCCAAAGGGGGTCTATTTGAAAGGTGTTGAGAAGTGATAACACTGATCTGTCCACAGAGACCTGCTGGGTGTTGTCCTGTATTCATGTGTGGGTTGAAATGCACAGAATGCAGTCGTGTGATGAGAGAGGCTGCATGCCAGAGACCTGAGTGGCTGTGGGTGTGATGGGTGTGTCCGCAGGGTGTGTTGAGTCTTTAGGCACAAGAGAACAGGAAGAATGAGTTGTGGTGACAGTGAGGGGACATGTGGCACTATAAAGAGGAGAGGGCCACCTATTGAAAATATAAGGAACTGCATGGAGTGTTGTAAGTGTTCAGCTCAAACTTAGACCAATTTTTAACTTTTTTTATTTGAAGCTTGTAGAGCAGTGGCTCCAGACTGTGGCCAAAATGGGCACGTATGCAACTATTTTTGGAGAGTGTACAATTTAAACTTTTACGTGGTCGCATTTGTGACCCTCTGTCCGTCTAGCCAACAGGCAGACATCGCGTTCGACATTAGTAGAGCTTTTCTTTCATGTCTGTCACATTAAACTATCCACTTGGCTGTTATGTGTTACAAAGATGGATCAGTCTATAGCCGATTATTCCAAAAAACAAAAACAATCCGACTGCAAACTAGCTAGCAGCATATCATGCATGTGAGGCGTTTAGGGAACATAGGTAAATTGTAGTGCCCCCTCAGCAAGCACATGTTGATGAAAACCATACTGTAACATAAAACAAAAGCTCGCAGTCCCCAGGAGCCCTGAACTGACACGTTAAATACATACAGGCTGTGAGAATACAGGAAAATGACGAACAGGGGTTCAGTTCTTTTCAAAATCCCAAAACGGCAAAGCATTTATGAACATCCAATCCAAATGAGGCATTTAAGAGTTCATCAAGATTATTTGTTGTGAGTGCTGGGATTAGTCATTGCTAATGGTAACGCTGGTTTGCCTTCTGATGCAGCATGAACGGATGAATACAACTACACGGTGACCAAATTGATGAGGATGAAAAACTTGTGAATCTGTGTAAAACTGGTATTTTTCATGATAATTTTGACAAGAGACCCAGACATCACCTAAACAGAGACCGAGGGGGACTGACATGCCTCAGAAATGTGATTTCATGGCTGTGTAAGTGCATGAAGAGCAGTAAAGCAAGCAAAAGGCAGCTCTATTTGTAGGTGTCTGAGATGTTCACATAGTTGTCTGCACCCAACTGGTGATGCAGATGGTTAAGATGGTGCAGCCATGCTGACATGGAAAATAGATTTCAGGCTTTAAGGTGTTTTTAAATGATGGCATGTAATCATATATGGAGCTGCATATATGGGGCTCTACATCGAGGGGCAATGCAGTTTATTTACACCCTTAGATGAGTTACAGACCTGAGCAATAGCAGCTTCATTGTCTGCCTGACCCAACAGGAAGATGCGGGCCTTGTCGATCTTAACTGGCACCGTCCGTCCTCGCCACTCCACCTCACTCATGGTTGCTGCCTGTTTGGTTCTTGCCTGAGTGATGAGGGCCTGAAAGACAAAGAAAAACATTCTTAAGATATTTTATTTTCTATTAAAGACTTCTTTTGAGTTCATCGCGAGTAAGGTAATTGTGCAGATTTATAAAAACAATAATAAAAAATCAGCAGTAAGTAGTATTTCTGTGTAGAATGTGTGCACTTTTCACCTCTTGCATTAATAAAGTTATTATTAGGCATTAAAAATAGTGCGCATAGAATTTTCACTAATGTCAGACTGCTGTATGTTCACCTCTAGTTTCTCAGCCATCATCCCTCCTCCTCCACCAGTCAGCCTCATCTGCATCAAGTCATTGATGGCATTCTGGTCACCTGCCGTCACATAGTAAAACTCAGTTAGTCAGTGTGCATCGCAAGGGTTGAACTCTGGAGCATTTGCAGCATATAAACAGAATCTCAGGGTGACTGAACGATAATGACAATAACAGGTAAGGTGATGCTCACCGATGTTGTAAGCACAGTAGCGGATGTTGGGCGATATCTCATCTACGCGCTGTCGATACAAAACCGCCAGCTCCTCAGTGAACGCACTGGCCAGTTTCTCATAGATGGTCCTGACAAGACAAACATTTCCTGAATAAATCATCCATGATAAAGTGGTGACTGAACATGCGTCCACTTATTCTGCTACAGTATTAGAAAACTGCAGGGGTCATAAAACTCACTTGCACTTGTTGAAGGCCTCCATAGCAAGCTTCCACTCCTGCAGCTCAAACTCCACCATACCAGTCAGGTATGCAGTGTAAGCCTGAAGTAAAAAACAATAGTCAGAATTATTGTAGGACCAGCTATTTTTCCCTTGTGATGCAGCTAATCAATAACAGTAATTTGTTTAGTACACAGAGACAGGTCAAAATAGAGTCGTGGGATGACATGGAAAGGTCGTCCTGTATGTTATACACCCACATGTGTCTCTAAAAGCAGACTGAAAGTGAATCTCTCCTCTGTACCTGTGCCTCCAGCTTCGTCTTAGCGTCGACACGGGGGCTTTCACAGAGCTTCTCCAGCTTCTCACTGTGCTTGGCAGCCTTACGTAGTCGAGCCAACAGGTGGAAGCGTTTCCGTGGCTCTGTGTTGGCCTCCTGCTTCAGTTGCATGGCGTAGCTCCATGCACGCTCTGCCTCCATCAAAACCAGCAAAAGATACCTGAAGAGAGGGAACACAACCAATAAATTATTACAAGGTTTGGTGTAATTCTATGGTTTAGCTGTGACATTATGTACCAAACCAGATTCATGCATTCTGATGCATAAGCAAGAAGCCACAACACTCTTTCGCATTGATGCCTGTTTTGACGTTTGTTTGTGTAGGAAACTGACTTTTACTGGACGTAAAGCTTGTCCATTAAAAGCAGCCAGTTAACTGTATATCAATGTTTCCTAACCTGTTGTCAGAAAGCATTTCGACCGTCACTTTCTTTCCAACAAACTTGTGCCGGTTTCCCATTTTGAAGCCAAGAGTCTTGCGTAGGCGACGCAGCCTGCGGGAGCAGTATCCCCTGGAAACAGGTACACAAAGACATTACAGTGAATGAATATGCTAATGTGTGCATTTTCATACGAGGACAATTAGGAAAAGACAACCATAGAAAAAAACAATTCATTTTCAACAACATAATTTCTGTATTTTCTTTGAAAGTTAGTCTGGAGCCTATTCATGGCTCCAGACTAACTTTTTTCACTGGTAGCAACAGAGCAACCAACTTTCTGATTTGGTCGCACCTCCCACCTTGTCGTAGGCAAAACACATCACTTGTTGAACATCTGCTTATCGACAGACGCTACAATTTACAGATGTTCCCTAAATGCCCCACATTACAGGCTGTGATAGCTGTTGCTTGGTGGCTCCACGATGTGGAGCGCAGCTACATGTGCTGTTCCGCTCATAGAACACAGCAAATGCAGGTGCGCTCCACATTTCATGAGAAGACCGCATTAAGTGTAAATACCGCAGCCCACAGAAGTTATTAAAGTGCTGCTTTCCACCACTGTGGTTAAGGGTTAGGGTTTAGGTTAAGGGTTGGGCTGCCTGTGCCAGTTACAGTGACACCAAAACAGCTTAATGATCATCATGCACTCACATGAATGCGACCAGCTGAATTTTCAACTCACACACTCAAAAAATGGTCGCAGTCTGGAGCCCTGCTACATAGCCATACAAACACTGGCTGATTGAGCCACTTTAACACAACTAAAGCAGTCATCATGTGCGTAAAATACAGTTTTTATAAAAGGTACATCATCACAATCTAAGCCAATAATAAACAATAATTTCTATGTCACAGCCCTTAACATTACATTGTTTATTAAATTAATAGCCAACTCAAACCTGTAGAATTCTTTGCATTGTGGACAAAACAACACATTTGAGAAGGTCATCTGAAGCTTTGGGAAAAACGTATTGCCATTTTTCACCGTTTTCTGACATTTTATAGACAAAAGAACAAATCAATTCATTGAGAAAATAATCAACACAGAAGTCGACAATGAAAATAACTGTTAACTGCAGCTTCGAGGTTCATAATGTGCAGACTTTGTTGATATCATCTGAGAAGCAATTATTCAGTCATGGGTTTACAACTGAGGCTTTACATACAGGCACTGTGGTGGACAAAACTCCACATTACAGACTTCTTAGATACACTTTAGGTCATAGCTGTTGTATTTGATTGCATTATACAATAAATACAAGATAACTCACAAAGGGAAAACACAATAATCTGATTCTCAGATCCATGCAGTAGCTTTCGGTTAAAAACAGAATTGAATTTAGAGCCCTGATTTTTGTCTGTAAGTCTCTGAATGGTCAGGGCCCAAAATATATCAGAGATGTGTTTGCTGAGTACAACAAGCCTGTAAGGCCTCTCAGATCTGCAGGGATTGATCAGTCAGTGGTGCCCAGACCAGACACTGTGAGATGACATTTAGTCATTACGCTGCCTGCTGGAACAAGCTGCTCTTGGAGATTAGATTTGTCCCAGCTGTAGCCATTTTTCTAAAAGCAAGCTAAAGACAGTTCTTTCTTCACTGCTGTAAATGAATCAGGTGTAGTTTTAGAGAGCACTGTCTGAACTGCCTTTACTTGATTTGTTCACACTTTCATTCTCTTACTTTTAATTTTTTCCCTATTTTTTAGGTATACTTTATCTTTTACTTACTGTATACATATGTTGTAAGTCTTTTTCTGCTGTTTTACTCAATTGGGTTTAGGTACTCTATGACACTTGTGTGTACTTATCTGTACTGCTTTTGTTTATTTTGTTGTTACCTTTGTATATTCATAGAGCGCTCTTTACATTTCCACAGTGCATACAGCTTCTTCTCAATGTGCAGGTAAATTTGATGTCCAAAATAAATACTCTAATAAAGATGTCACTTGCAGAAGCTGAGTTTCACCCTATACAAAAGGTTAACAGATGTTTCCTATAAATTTCTTTTGACTGAGAGAAAAAAACAACGTGCAGATCACTGCGGGACAGCACTGCAGAAGTTCACCAATGAGATTTCAGCTATGAGCTCAGCTATGATCCAGTTGGTGCAATTTATTCAATCATTAAAAATGAAAGCTCACCTGTATCTCTGGTAGTCCCCATGCCTGAGGCCATGCTGCTGCTGGGACTCCTTGATTATTTGCAGGACTGTGGAACAATGTTAAGGTACAACCCCTTCTACAACATCAAATCATGAGACTTAAGGTAAAATTAGTTATTTAAATGCAAATATGAACATGTCAGTCATGTTGGGAGTAGCTGAATGGACTGTCTGACTGTATGTTTTAGTAACTGTCAGTGCAGATGCAAATGCTAAGTTACAAGTGAATAAAACACGGTTACAGCAACACATTATAACTAGCATTCTTAGCTTACTTCATACATTTAAAAAAAACTGTGTGTCAAGGCTTGGAAATCAGCTTTTCTTGCCTACTACTGACAGCCTGCTTCAGTATGACACGTCGCCTAATAACGCTAGCTAACGTTATCCTCTCACCGAGCTAGCTAGCAAGCTAACGTTAGCTTCTGTGCCTGAAACTGGTTCGGCGAGAAAAAGATGAAAACTGAAGCTGCACATGTCGTGCCGTGAAGGATACTTTCCAGTCCAAGTCCTCCATCTGGTAAATTTTCTTTGTTTTCATCCATGAGGGAAACTTTGCCTTCGTTTTGCTTGTCTGCGGCCATGTCTGAAAGCTAACAGCTAAGCGGTACATACACACATGCTCAGTCAGAGGAGCAGCCAGCAGCCAATGGTGGCACAGGGAGGGGCAAAGTGGCAAATCTCGCGAGATTTGGTTTGTAACCGTACACTCAACTCATCAGCTGTCTGTAAAAGTTCTCAGTAAGAAATACAAAATACTTCCAGTTTCTGAAAGTGAAAGCTCTTATAGGTGACCTAACATGGTGTATAATTACGTAAAGCTCAATCATAATAAACCACTGTGCAGGTGCAAGCACAATCAAAGAATAAATCAACATAAATCAACCCCTATGTGGTGTTATGCTGCATATTCCCAACAGTTTAGCTAAAATATTACTCTAATAATATTAATACACCTCATTTCTAGAGTGCCTTTCAAAACTGCAGCTACAATATGCATTAAAAAATAAATTTAAAACACTAAAAAGCAACAATAAATATGAAAAGAGGACAATACAACATTAGAAAAGACTGTAAAGGTGAGTTTTTAACAGCTTTTTGAACTGAGGGTTTTCTGACAGCAAGGTTGAGCCCGTTCCATGCTGTTGGGGCTAAAACAGTACACGCACGGTCCCCCTTTGTATGAAATCTGGACCATGGATTTGTTTATTTTAATTTTAATTACAGAGCAGGACCCTGTAGAGATTTAAACGTATTCAAGGTAATCCTAAATTGAATAATGTAATAAGTAGAGATCAAGCTGGGACTGGAGTTATGTGTTCCCTGTATTGACTGTTTGTGAGTAGTTTTGCAACAGAGTTTAAAATAAACCTGTAATTGCTGCCTTGCTAAGGCCACTGAGTCAGAGAGACAATAAGAGGGTGGATGAGTTACTCAGCTATGTTTTTTTGGAAGAATTGGTTTGACTGGTTTATTTGTACATGGTAGGATTAAACCAGTTTCATCATGCCAATTAAAAAGCTTTTAGGAACTGTCTGTCTGGTTCTTAACATTACAAATGCGTGAAGTTTCGATGTATACGTAAAATATGATAATCATGTGATGTGACTGAAACCCTCTGAAAATCTACTGATGCGGTGCGATTGTTTTTTTCTAACTACTGCTTTCAAGTGTGGATCGGGAAGTCTGGGCGGCTTTGCTAAGGTTGCTGCCTCCGCGACCCGACTCCGGATAAGCGGGAGAAGATGGATGGATGGATAGATGGATGGATGGGTGCTTTCAATGATAAAGAATAAAGCTTTAACCTCAAGAGAACAAACATCAGGAGTATCATTAGCAACCAGGACAAACACACAACAACAACAAAGTAAATATTAAAGATACATTCTTCATATTTAATAGAAAATGAGACAGAAACTTTTATTCAAAAACTTGACACGGTGTGACTGCCACTGTTAAGACAGACCTGATTACATGCAGATCAAAGATTTAATATATCCACGAATGAACTCAAAGGAGGCTGTAGGATGACTGAGTCTCTTAAGTTATGTCCAGTAAGAACTGGGGGGTACATGTGAGTGTGAGCACAGCTTATTACAAAATAGCCTTCATATTTAGGTTAACACAAGTATGTAAACATCCACAACTTTGAGTTCAATCGGGGAAGATGTAGTTTAAACAATTAATCTGCACACGTAAGGCCCTGACATGTAGAGGTCCCAGTATTTTGTATCTAGAAGGGATGCAAAACTGAAAAAGCACAATATTAATGCCCTTTTTTGCCTAAATAACAAAAAGTACATTCAGATGTTGTCAGCTGCAGAGATGTATCTGGATAGAAAGTTCCGGATTTCAGAGATGTGCATGGTCTCCTTGATGGTTGTATCTCTGCTGCGGACCTGAAGGAGGCCGCTCTCCAACGTGTTCTCACCGATCACCACAGTGAAGAGAACTCCCATCTCATCATACCTGCAACGCATCAACAAAGAAACAAACAAAAAGCATCACTAATTTACTTCTAAAGAGCTATTTGAGCTGCATTATGTGTTTCAGACAGTGTAGCGTCAACACATTGAGAGCATTTACTTGGTGTTCAGCTGCTCCATTGATGTTTGCGCAGTGTCAAGATATCCGGGCCACGCCAAGATGTTAGCTTCCAGGAATTCCTGCAGAAGGCCCTCACAAACCTACAGAGTAATATTTTACACATCAGTTGACTCTATCGAACAATGTGCATTCACATAGATTGAAAATAAAAAATCTCTCTACTCTAAATACACGCTTTTCTTACCCGTCTCATCTCCACAGTTGCTCCTCTACCGATGTCTAGAGCCACTTTGACTGGAGCCAACACTGGATGCAACTTCAGAACCTGAAATCAACAGTAAACCAAAATTCAGATATTTCAGAAGTCACATCACAAAAGAGAGACCTGTGAGTGTCAAGTGAGCTGCTGAGTACAGTCACCCTTCTCTGCTGCAGCCTCTGTTTGCTGTCTTCTCTCTTCAGCTGCTGGAGTGAGTTGGACAGAAAAGCCATCATGCCGCGGTCCATGTTCCCGGTTACAGAGACGACATGAGGAATCGACTTTTGTCCGCCCCGAGGCTAAAGCAAATTCAGAGAGAAAGCAACAGGAGTCAACAGCCACTTCAGTTTCTTAGCATAACACTTGGCAGTTTTACCATATGTAATGATATTAACATAATGTTTACTTAGCAGTTAAGTTCAGTTCTATCTGTGTGAGAATGTCAACATAAACCAAACTGAAGTAACAATAATTATATGGGGACTCGAGGCCACTGCTGACACTCCTACTTGTTGCTTCAGGTGAAACCATCCTGGAAATTACCAGAGCCCTTTAACTTCGATGCTAACTGGAATGCAGCCATTAATAACTGAGCACACCAGTGCAGCAGCAGCTTAACAACGTTACTGCAGGCACAGGACAAAAAGCATGCATACAACAAAAACAATAAATATAAGACAGAGTTTGACCTGCAGCTTGGAGCGGACTCCCTGGTGTGTGTGCAGCAGCTCAGAGTTTCCACGACTCCACAGAGTCTCCAGCGACTCCGGTCCCCACGGGAAATGATAAATGATCCTCACACCACGAGATGCTGGCTCTTCCAGTTCCTCCTCTGGGACCTCACTACTGCTGAAGTCGGACGGTGACCGGGCAAACTAGATAAACACAGATTGAAACAAAGGGAGGACATGAGCTGATATGACTTAGTATTAATGATGTACTTCTCCACTTGGCAGCCAACAGTATCCTGATCATTCCTGCTGTCTCTGTGTTGAGGACTGCTGAATTTCAAAATAATAAACAGGTTTCTGTGGACAAATTCAATGTTTAGGTAGAGCTACAGAAAAATCAGGAACAGCATCTTTAAGTAACCTCAGTAAATATATCTTGGATAGGTTGAAAGCACTTTCTGAAAAATACACAGCATGAGATATTTAGACCTTTGACCTTGATTGTCAAAAACCTGTCAAAACATACTCTTTTAAATGTTTTTATAGAGAACAGCAATATACACAATCATGTTTGTCTTGATGTTAAGTTAGAATAAACAGTTTGTATTTCTCTCATACCAACAATGATCTGTTGGTTTGTTCTAATATAAAACCAATATGACGTCTAATTATACAAAACAGACTTATGTTAGCACCGGTTTTCTCATGTACACCAAATATACTTATTGCAACACATGACTTTTGCAGATTTTTGAGGTGCTTTCCCTCGAATACTCACTTTCCTCCACCACCTCAGCCTCTGGCGTGTCCAGTGATCCAGCCACTGGGAAGAGGTGCGAGGTGAACAGAACCACACCAGAGAAGTCTGGGTGACCTCAGCTGGGCTGATGGAACAAACAAGAAAGGGTCAAAAATTTTAAGCAAGTTGGTCTCAGAATCTGGTGGGCAAATAAAGTATCTACAAGTAGCTATTTCTGCTAAACTATCTCCTGATGCTGAGGGTGTACTTACTTTTACCACCACAGAACATTACATTAATTGATATTTATGCTGGATCAAATATTGAAAAGGCAAATTGTCCTTGCAGTGTTTAAGAATGTGAACTTTATCTGTTTCAAATTAGGTTCCAATATGTCACAAAAAGCCACTTATTATGGGATAGGCTCCAGCCCCCCTGCGACCCTAGTGAGGATTAAGCGGTGTATAGAAAATGGATGGATGGATGGAAGCCACTTATTATTTCACACAAATGTTTAAAATGTAAAAAGAGCAAGTAGTAACAAAGCCCTGAGATAAGTCTTATCAGGTAACATATGAAAACATTATATTAGGAATATAATAGGATTAAAGATTAAGAAAGTTTATTTTTCCCCAAATATACTTAAATCCCATCAAAAAAATCCGACAAAGGAAGAAAAAATGAAGTTTTACATCATATCTCGCACAAGTATGTGTCGACACATACAATCACTGAGATCACAGGCAACAGATGAAGCCTCACCAACCAGAGCCACGTGAAGGCTGCAAACACAGACCCGTCTCTGCCAGTCCAAACGGCAGCTTCCTGTTCACCAGCTCCATAGAAGGGACAAACTGCTCCAAGGCGCCTGAAGACAAATCACAGCACAAAAGAGCCCGTTACTGTGACAAAATGTGCAACGAGAAACCTAATGTTTGCTGTTTTGTTGTGCATTTAATTCTAATTTTGTACCTCGATTTTTAATCTTTCTATTACATGTAGAGGATACGTTGTGTTTATCCTTCAGCAAACTTTGATTAGTTCAGTACTTAGTGCTAATCAGTTGATTATATGTTTTCATATTTACTCTGCTGCAAGATCAACGCATTTCAAACCTGTCCAGGAATGTGTGCAATATCAGTATTTCCTGCACCTGGAAGAGTCTGTGGAAAATTATTCAGTGCAATTTACCAACATATAGAATAACCCTGTGCAATATTGTGACTTTCCACATATCAGAATTTCTTCATCTGTACAAAATCACTCCTACTTAGGCATAATTCTTATTTTTCGTTCAACTGATGCCCCCTTTGCTGCTGTAACACTGCGAATTTCCCCACTGTGGGATTAATTACAGCTCATCTTATTACATCCTTCTGCAGGAAGGAGAGCTGAAACATCTGACACCTCCCTCTGAAGAGCATCTTTGCAACATTACTCTCTCAATAGGCACTGCATTTATTGTTGTGAGATTGTAGTTCTTCTGAGCAACATCTGACAGAAGAATTTCCTTCAGGATTATTGTTCTGTCTTATCTTGTGTAATACATCAATACTGGGATGTGTTCTGTGGTGGACTACCTTGAAGTAAGTTTGTTCTCACAGATGGAGACCTCTGCAGGAGCATGCGCACCTCCTGGATGAGTTGCTCTTTGCTCAGCTCCTGTCGGTCCAGCAATTGTTTTAAATGTTCAGATTCGACCATCCTCAGTTGTCCTCCTCCATCTGCTGCTCTGTCCCTGCTGCTGCTGCTGCTCAGAGTGTTTAACCCAAACACCTGAGCTCTGGACCCGGTCACCGAGTGCCACCACTGATCCAGCAGGTTCCTCCTCAGCTCCGTGCCCAGAGGCCCGTAGCTGCAGCACATCCCCCGCTGGAACAGCTCCACGTTAGGCTGTCCGGGGGAAACATAGTGCCTGTCCACGCAGAGCTGCAGCAGCGTCCCGGCCTGGTCCACATCCTCAATGGAGGATGAACTGCAGCATCTCCTGGTGGATTGTTTGGTTTTTATTACGGATAAACGCCTTGACAGGACGCGTCTGACAGGGTGAGTTAGCATGATGGAGGTGCTGGCATAAGCAACATCTTGTAAAAAAAAATAAAATAAAATAAATAAAAAGTCGACTGGGCACTGCTTCTACAGTAAACACAGGTTCAGGTTGTTGAGCTCGTACATTTTAGCTAACGGCTACACACTCACGTAACACAAATGTTAGCGGCTGTCGGTGCATTTAAGAGTCACACTGATGTCACACAGTTGATAATCAATAATAACATGTGAAAAACTTTTACAAGACACAGGAGCTTAATCACGGACAAACATGTGAGTTGTGATCCGGAAGTTAAACGCGTACATCCGGGTTACAAAGTATGTCTCGTGGTACATTCAGTTTTCTGTTTTTTAAATAAAAAATATATTTTTTACATATTTTGTGTACGGTTACATTCACATGAGAGCCTTTTATTTAGTAGTGTACGTCTTCTGAACCAGTGTAAAAGCAAAAAAAACAATCCACTTTCCATTGATACAAAACGACATACACTTATATTTCTGTAAATATTATTTTATCAATCAGTATGGTGTAGTAGTGGCTACGAAATGTTCTAAAGCTTTATCTCCATTGTCTGAAATGAAATACAAGTGAGGATTTTTTTTTCCCTTTGTTGGCTGGCAAAGAAGATAAATATTGATAATAGTCTACATAAATGTCAGTCTAAAAAAATATGCATCAATTGTTTTTCTTGTAGAATGAAAAGTCCAATTAAATGTTTTAAATGAATACCTATCAAAATCCTGTCGCCACAATGGGAAACTACAGCCTTTAGCTGCACAGGGGTCTCGAACTCCGGTCCTCGAGGGCCGCAATCCTGCAAGTTTTAGATGTTTCCTTCTTCCAACACACGTGATTCAAATGATCAGCTCATCATCAAGCTCTGCAGAAGCCTGATAACGATCCTGATCATTTGAATCAGGTGTGTTGGAAGAAGGAAACATCTAAAACTTGCAGGATTGCGGCCCTCGAGGACCGGAGTTCGAGACCCCTGCTTTAGCACAAGTAATATTTGAACATGCATAAGGATTTCCAGTTGAACTGAAGACTTCTAGAAGTTGCAGCAGCCATAGCGTGCAATAACATTTTCATGTCTGTACAAGTTAACTCAATATTGGCATGACACTCAAAACATTACCTTCATTCTTTTTGTGTCACTTTGCATTTTCAGACATACTGTTGCAGAGGATAAAAAGTTGTGGCTCCAAAAAGAGAGGTGCTGCTGATACATCTATGGACTTCAGCAGCCACAGAGTGCAAAAATATCTGTGGTTTTCATTTCTGTGCTGCAGTTATGTCACCACTAACATGACACAGAAAGTGTTGCTTCTTTCATTCTCTCTTCCTCTTCTGCTACAAAAAATATGCTCCCTACATATGGTTTAAAAATGAGTCATTCTTGACACTGTATTAAGGTCCAGAGGAGCCAAGATCTACATCAAAACAGAGCTCTCCAAACCACCCCCTTACACACACACACACACACACACACACACAAAAAAAAAAACACAGCACAAGTTTCCCATTTTCTTATTTTTATTTAAAAGGGCCACACGCACCCTTTTTTTATATGATCTTCATAACATCACTTTAAACATACCACAAACTGAAAACACTGTATTACCTAGTAAAAATAAATTACTGAGGAATGTAACAAAAAACAGTCAAGGAAAAAGTGCAGCAATCATGATTGCACTATAGGAGATGTGTCTCCACTTAATGCTCGGGGCTTATTGAACAATTCAAACCCTGCTGTAAGCAAAACAAAGTTAAACAGTACAAAGGATAATAATTAGAATAATAATAATCATACTGTAAGATTTCAAGACTGAACGAAAATCATCTTGGTTCCATATATTGTGTGTATATCTACTGTGGGAAGGGTGGTGGCATGGGGTAGGGCACCATCGGTGGTGGGGGTGGAGGCTGTTGGGCCTGTGGTGGCGGCGGCTGAGAGTTGAATGGGAACGGCGGGTGGTTCATGCCGTTCTGAGCGGCCCTCTGCATGGCCCCGAACTGTGGGGGGCCCTGGAAGCTTTGGTTACCAAAGGCACCCACCTGGTTTGCTGGAGCACCGAAATTACCCTGTCCGTTGCTGTTGCTATAGTTGTTGTTGCCATAGCTACCACTAGAGTTGCCGCTGTTGCCTCCATAGCTGCCACCATTTTGGGCCTTATTGCCACCAAAGGCACTCTTTGGCCCGCTGCCAAACCCTCTATCACCGTCCCTGTCCCTGTAGCTACTACCACCAAAATTACTCCTCCCTCCCCCAGAATACCTATCCCGGCGGTCATCCTTGTAGCCACCTCTTCCCCCCCTTCCGCGACCTGTGTAACACGAAGACAGGAGAGGGACAAAAGGAGAAGGAGGGGAGTTTAGATGGGTTCAACACTGTAGCAGTAATAACAAGAGACCCTAATATCAAATATTATGTAAACCATGTAAAACTGTGGTTCCCAACTTTAGGATCACCAGAACATTTGCTTCTGGGCCGTTATAAAAATATATTTTTTTTGGCAAAAAGACAATAATTATGTACAGTAACTTGACAGTAAAGCTGAAACATTGGTCAGATGTCTTAATGACAATAATAAATCATTAGCTGCAGCCCAGCTTTTAAGATTTTTAGCCACGTCTACACAACATATTGCTACCATCATAACAACGTGTACATTCCTAGTAAGCAAGTCTTAATGTAAACAAATATGACATGTTACCTCCTCTGTCCTCTGCCATCTGGATCAGCTTGGGGTTAATGGCCTGATTGGCCTCGCGGAGCACAGAGATCAGGTCACTGGCTTGTTTCATGTTGTTGGGGGTGAAGAAGGTGTAGGCTGTGCCCGTTTTTTGACTTCGGGCTGTGCGTCCAATGCGGTGGATATAATCCTCGGAGGAGTTAGGGTAGTCATAATTGATGACAAATTTCACATCCTCCACATCTGTGAAAGTGTTGCAGTGTGGCAAAACAAAACATGGAGGCCACACAGGATTTTGCACACCACAACAGCCAGATCAAAGGGAAAAGTTAGCAACTGTGACGGCTGGGGGAAAGAAAAGTGGTCGTTAGGCTGTGGAGGAAACGCGTTAAAACAGCATCAGATTGTGTACAAATTTACTCCATGGGAATACTACTGTGGGAAGAGAGAAACGATGCACACTCCAATTGCTTACCATAATCAAAAAGATCCAAAAGACACCAATCTCCCTTTCGTTACCAAGGGAGTACAAATGGATTTAGGTCTTACCAGAAAGGAGTATGCATTCACTAGTCCTTTCCCAATGCAGCGAAATCCCCCACAAATTGTCAAGTGACATCCAGGAGCTTCTACGCAGTCGGGCCTCGATATGCACTGGGGCCTCCTCATGTGCCAATATAGGACCATTGAGTGGTACATTTTTGCAGGTCCAGGTTTTTCCCAGTACACTCTCAAAAGAAGCTTGATATTAAAGGCCGCACTGCACGTCTTGCCAAGACAAAATAGACCAAGTACTAATTTGAACAGGGGCCCCCTTCAAAAAAAATGACAAAGGCCCAAGCATTGAACCCTGTGGGACCCCTAAGCGAGCACAGGACAATTCCCCCACCCCCTTCATCAGTCTCATCAAGGCAAGATCTTCCAAGAAGCCAGTGTTCACTTGAGAAAATGTCTCTCGTTGGCAGGTCTCGACATGACTATAAAACGCAGGCGAGGGAGGAACTTTGGTTTGAGCTGTCTCACTCTCTTTCTCCTCTCACTAGATGTTCCCACTACCCCCTAAACACATGTGCCAGGTCTCATCAATTTTCAGAGACAAAAGATTTCGAACTGCTCTCTCCATTTCAAGAAATCCAGCACTTTGACGGGAAAAGAAAACAACTGAAAGCTTAGACAAGCTCACACCCATGCTATGTGATACAAGCTCCGAAAGGTAACAATTGTTCCAAATCTCAAACAAGTGACTTGCAATACAGCGCTCTCTAACACAACAGCATGCAAGGCAAAAGTCACAGCATCAAGCATTTCTTTTCTTTTTCTTTTTTTTACGTTTGAGTTGGAAACAGCTGGATGGCATTTGTCAGGTGAAATCCATGGACAGAGAACAGATGTGTGTGTATTTCAACAACATATCAGAGACAAAGGCTTAGCCACACAGCCTTTTGAAGATCACTGGCACACAAGAGCTTTCACCTCTCTAGGCCCACTGGGTGGCAAGCCAGTTGAGCACTTCCAATATGTCATCCTTCTCCCTCTCGAGGCCTGGGACTGTCATGCCTAGCGCCTGCCACAAAGACTCCACCTTAAGGTGAGAAAAACTCAGAAAATGCATAGAAAAGTTAAAGAAAGCAAAACCACTTTCTTTAAAATAAGTGTAACACTGATAATAAAGTGGTGCAACTCAATGGCATACTGACCTAAGCCACGGGAGGCCACATCTGTTGCGATGAGAATGGGAGCTTTGCCATATCTGAACTCTGAAGCACAAAGGACAGTTTTAACCAAAACACAGTGTTAATTTACCAATAACTGCTAACACTGCAATATTTTAAATCTCACCATTAAGGACCCAGTCCCTCTCCTGCTGGCTCTTGTCTCCATGAATTCCCATTGCTGGCCACCTATGACAGACAGACTCAGAATTACACACTGCCACCCCAGCTTCAACAAACTTCTAACATTTTTTTAAATTTGGCATAGCCTCAGTGTAACCTTCACGGCTAAAAAAGAAAAAAAAAAGAAGAAAAATAAGGATGGGGTCCTTACCCATCTCTTCTCATCCTCCTGGTGAGCTCATCGCAACGCCTTTTGGTCTCCACAAAAATAATGGTCTTGTTCTCCTTTTCACTCATTATCTCCTCCAGCAAACGGATCAGTCTGATAGAAGAACAGATGGAGGGTTTTGAAACTACATGACTATTTAAATACAGTGTTAGGTGCAGAGGATAACTGGAACCTTTATGGTTACAAGCTCATTAAAAGTTGAGGAAATCATCTACTTACTTGTCCTCCTTTTCCATGTCATTGCAAACATCCACTATCTGCAG